ACATGGCATACAAATTTCACTTGTTCAAATCCTAGAAACAAGAAAAAGAAAAGGAAAATCTTTCTCTATGAGAAAATTAACAATGAAAAATGTGAACAATTTGCAGAAACTATTCAAAATGAAATATTAATACAATCTTACTATACTTCTATTCCAGATAAGACTGCATTAAATAAGTGTTGGCATATATGGTCTACTTCAATCAAAAAGGTAATTAATAAACATATTCTATGGACCTACAAAGCACCCAAAACTTTTAATGCTCTATTACTAAAAGTAACCAAATTACATTCAGCACTAAAAAATATCAAAAAATGTCTACAGTGCATTGTAAACATTAGAACTCCTCTTATACTACCAGATATTCAAACTCTAAATACATATTTACAAAAAGCTGTAACTTTAGCTGTGATAGAGTTCGAACCACTACTACAAGAGACATTCTCAGCTATACCAATTCCCAATACTATATTTACAATCTATACTAAAACACTACAAGATCTCAAACAACTAAAAAACACTATTTAGAAAAGCCATAATATTGAAAAAACCTAGAGCTATTAGAAAGAATAAAATTCTATACAGAAAGATGATACACAGACTTCAAAAATAATACTAGCTGAATAATAAATAGTATTCTACAATGACACAAACCACATATAAGCTTCAAAAAAATTATCTGCTCAGACAAGATAATTACAGAAAAAGAGCAAATATTAGAAACACAATCATATTTTGCACAGTGGACAAGATGCAATCTCTCAGATAATACACTTTGGGATAAATGGCAACCTTATTACAATCCACTAAGACATATAAACTCCTCAGTATGCAACTCAATGCTCTTATCTTTTACTATATAGAAGATTACTTCAACAATTAATACATCATCTAAAAACAAGGCTACAGACCCTCTAGGTATCTCTAATGAAATTTTAAAACACTTGCTCTTGATAGCTATCTCACAATTGTTAGATATCTTTAATGCATGTATCGACCTAGAGATTATACCAAACCAATGGTTAAAATCTAACATATGGCCAATTCAAAAAAAATCATATTATACCTATGATCTAAATACTACTAGACTGATAACACTGATTGACTATACTAGAAAAATTTTTACTAAAATAGTCACAAAACATTTAACAGAAGTATTAGCTTGAAATTCAATATTATTACCTTATAACTTCGCTGCATTACTACATCAATCAACTTTACAACCTATACAGCATCTTATGAACATAATTGAGGATGCCTTAACAACTAAACAAGAATACTGGTTACTTTCACAAGACATATCAAAGGCTTTTGATTCTATACATATACCAACATTAGAGAAGGCATTAAATAGAATACAAATCTCTAAGAAAATTACTAATATTCTTTTATTCATTTTAAACAATTGAACAAACCAAGTAATTACAGATCAAGGTTTTACTCAACTATATATTGTAGAAGATGGAGTAGACCAGAGGAAGACCTTTTCTCCTTTACTTTGGAGGATATACTATAATCCTCTAATACACAGAGTTCATAATTAGCACATAGGCTACAATGTAGCTATTCATACTACTTCAGGATCAAAAAAGATACATATTTCAACTCTAACATATATAGATGATTCACTTTGGTTAGCACAAAGCAAACAGGCTCTTCTAGAAATTCTCTAAACAGTAAACTCATTCTACAAGCTCACGAATATAAAGATAAATCTATCTAAATCAACATTAATTATGAACTCATCTGACAAAGTCAAAGAGATTATCTTTCAAAATCAGACAATTACTGCGAATAACAAACATACTCTACTCAAATATCTAGGTTCTTGGTTTACTCAAAATAGAAGCCTACTTATAGTTCAAAAAAAGATATTAACAGAAGCAAAAAATAGCTTAAAATTAATGCAGTTTGCACGAATAACAGGGAAACAATCGATCTATATTATCAACAATGTAATAATTCCTCGATTGACATACAGATTAAATAGTGCTTATTTTACATCAACTCAACTTACACATATTATAATGCAATATACAAGTATAGTAAGACATAAGACCAGAATCTCTCATTTAATACCAAACTCTTTCTTCTTCAACTCTGATATATATACTCTAAAAGATCTTTGACAAACTCAAACAACACATTTAGCAGCTAATCTAATAAAAGCACTAAACCAACTAGACTTTGATTCTTCATTTCTAAAATATCATCTGCAACAACTTCAGGATGCTGCTAATACAAATAACTCCATACTCACACATCTACTAATACTTCTGAAACAACAATACAGGATATATACTGAACAGGCGATAATTGCACTCCATGAACTTGATCTGCAAACCAATCATGAACTCAACAATTAGCCTCTTCTTACCAATCTTTTAGGCACTTCAATTAACTATATACTAACTAGAATCTTTGACGCAAACAAACTCAAAGAATAGCTAAACATACATAATATATCTTGTATTGAGCAGTTTCTAAGTTTAGATAATTTGAATCTACTTGACTGAACAAGCTTCCATCATAATATACAAAAAATTACATGAGGCCCAGCTTCCAAATGGTTTTCAAAAATTGGTGATCTTATTACTAAGTCAGCAAATCTCTTAATAGATTATATAACTCCTAACCTATTCACACTCTGTGAAGTAGAGCTATTCAAAGCTAAATGGATTATTACAAAGAACCTTACAATAGGCCATATCAATTCTGCAGCCAAACAGCCTCCAATTCGACACTATATACTACAACAAAACAATAGTATAACAGCTTGCAAAAGCTGTAAATTAAAAGACTATAACTTCAAAAGAAAAAGATGCTATTTTACAATATCTACAAAGAAAACAAAAGCATTCAAACTACAAGTAGATAGCAAACTTAAAGTACATGCTAATCTGTCAGACATACAAAATACATTTAGAGCAACCAAAAATAGAAATAATAGAAAAACTCTACAACAGATACTATAACCCAGACCCTTCTGTGCATTCGAAGCAATTTCAAAAAATACTAGGAACTATTAACGAAAGAAAACTTTCTACTAAATAGAGTCGAAGTCTCTATCATCACAAGAAAAGATACTGATACAAACCAAATACACATCACTCTGGTTATATCGACATCCTCTAGCAATAAAAATTTTGTCGATATATTCAGATGTCAGTAGAACAAGAATCTCTTTCTATACTGACATCATAATAGTATTTATAAAAATATTTATATAGTAAGCATAAATATGATTTCAATACATATAGGCAATTTCATGAGGTGAAATAAAATTTTGAGCCAATCATTTGTGATATGGCATGATTATTAAGAATTATTATAATTAGTAAGCCTGATAATGAATTGCTTATAAAGTAGATCGCAACCCAGTTAATGTAGCACAAAAAATTTTCATGCAATCATTATTTGTACAATTCTAACATATATTAATATATAAATATAAATATATAATCTCATGAAATGTGCTTATGATAGACTCAAAATACAAAAATACAAACACTTGATAGTATTTTAATATGCTAAGAATTAGGATAGTCCAGAAAAAGAATGATTCAAAGATTATATTTATAGAGTTATGCTTTATATCTCTCCAGAAGTTTTATTTGACTAAGAGTTTATACCAGATATGAGTATGTTATCAATTTGATGATTTTCTAAATTCACAAGTTAAAAAGTATTTTCATTTTATTCTTATTAAATTTCTCATATTATTTAAACTCTTGTTACATCGCATAACTATCTAAAAATTTTTAGAATTTGATTTATTTAATTTATGCTTTAATTATTAATAGCATATAGTAAAATATAGTAAAAATCAATCAGAAATTTTCTTACTTAAGATTGAACTATAGCTTCTTTATGATGCCCTATTTATTACACTATTTAATTATCAAAAAATATGTACCTATAATATAATATAGAACAAAAAAAAAATAAAATAAAGTAAAACAAAGAAAATAAAGTAAAACAAAAAAAATAAAGCACAAAAAAAAAATAAAAACAAAAATATACAAAATTTGTTATAATCTAACAAAAAACGAATTAGTTTTTTGTTAGAAAAAAAAAATTAGATATCAAAAATTTTAATAAAATTATTCGCTAATAAAAAATGAGTCTAATTTTGTTTGTTTAGAATTATTTTTCACCAGATAAATAAGTACTTTTCATATTCACTTAAGTTCTGAAAAAACTTTAATATCAATCTTAAGACTTGATACTAGTTGTTCAATATAGTCTAATACTAAATCCAGTTCTGTAATAGCTTGAATTGCTGTAACAGGTTTAATTTGCTGCTCTGGTTCTTCTTCAAGTTCATTTTCTTGCATCTCTGCTATAATGTCTTCAAGCGTAGGCATTTCACTTGTATAATTATTTTCAATTTCAATAAATTCCCATGTAGAAATATTTAAATATTCAGGGTTTTCGGGATCTTTTGAATTTTGAAATCGTGTAATGAGATTTTCTAACTCCATTTCATCTTCATTAGTTAGATTAACAAGAGATTCTGAATCTATATATTCATCAATTTCTGTAGAAGGAAGAATATCTGTTTTTTGCTATGAATGAATAATTACATCTTCAGAAACTTTATTCCAAGCTTGTGAAACAAATTGAATTGCATCATAAATTGTAACAGAATCTGGAGGTTGATTAATAAGGTTCAATTCATCAAATGCAGCAATTCGGTTTTGTAATAATAACTTATGATAGTGACACTATAAGTGCCTCATTTGCAGATTTGTATAACAAATGTTATCGTTATTGTAATTATAAGAATATTAACTTAAGTAAAAGATATGCACTAACTTTAAATAAGTAAATTATGCCTGTATCACATGGTTATAACCATGCAGTAGTAAGTTTTGGAAAAAAAACTACTTTAATATTACTGAAGTTTAAACCTACAATAGTTTAACAATAAAGATCTTAATAAAGATAAGGATGCAATTAAATGATAGGCCTTTCTAAAGTTAATTTTTATGTATTACTCATTAAAGCAATTAACTCTATAAATAGTTAGTTACAAGCTAATTAAGTTAATAATTTACTATTTAATTGCTTTAAAGAGTAATACCCCAAATCAGCATAATCAATATTAGAAAAGCCTGATATTAAAAAAAAAAACCTGTAATTGAGTGTGCAGAACAATTATCTATAAGTAAAAGAATTTTTCAACAGGCACAACACATGTGATGATCCAGGTTAGATATCCAGTTTTGAAAAATTGAAGTTTGCATTCATACTTTTTTGTTCTAATAATATTGAACAGGCAAAGATGATTTTTTTATTCCTCTTAGTGAGTGTAGATTTTGAAATTGATGAATAAAAAGTGGAGGTAATTTATCACCAACTGCATTACATGTTAACATTATGGTTATATGATTTTTTGGCTTTTTAACTCCTGAAATACAACCATGTGTAAGTGATTTTGAAGGTTCTAAAAGCCAATAAAGTGCCGTTTCATCACAATACTGAAAGTAATTACAGACACACAAAATCATCTTAAATAAGTGAACCAAAATCACATCATACAATAGTTTTCAATAATTAATAATATCAACTGAAGCTTTACAACAGAATATTTAACATACAGAGAAGCACTCCTCTCCTTAAACACAAACTAGTATCTTGCCACCCTGAAAAATTTCAAAATAAAAATCATAGCCAATGAATTACCAACACATCTTACCAAATATTACCATAATCCAACAAAATACAAAAATTATCTCTGTTCACACTGCTGTAAAGTACCTGAAGAATTTTCTCATATTATTACCTGCCTATATAATCAAATTAGACTCGAAATATTAATTCAGCAGGCTATACAAAAAATAAGTAGAGAAACAGAAAGCAATATAACTAATATGGATGACTTCATACACAACTACAAAGTCTTATATCTAGTTAGAGGCTGTCCTATTGGTTTTATTACAGAAGATACTATAGCTCTATTTGAAAATATAATACAAAAGAAAAAATTTATCTTACTATTACACCTTACAATAACTTTAATGATATATAACAAAATCTGGCTACCTTCTAGACAATACACACATGAAACCTTTCTATTAAACCCTAAACCTTTACAATTTCTTACACCAGATAAAATTTCAAACAATCCACTCACTCTA